AACCACATTTAAACTGTGGTATTAAGCTCATATATACCAAATATAGAAAACAGAGAAATTCCCCTTAGTCCTAGATCAGCAAAATGTTGAATCTATGGCTAGGGGAATGGGTCAGAGTAGGTGGTACCAGCTCCACCAAGTATGGGCATGAACCCTTTATTGTAGAAATAATAAAAAACACACAACATGCTAAGGTTGTTCCCCTTTGAAAGAGAAACTACCAAGCAAGCTGGTAAAATTGTAGGCAGACACTAATATTAAGCCTAATAAATCTTAGAATATGGAGTCCAACAGATAGGAGAAAAGTGGTAAGGGAGAAAAACCAGGAAATACAAGGTGATGCTAAATATTGTTGATACAGTGCATGAAAAAGTATCTCTAAATCAACAGTAATACACTGAAACTTTATTTAACTGCTATCAGAAAAGAGATACAGTAGCACCTATGTATCAATAGGGTAACTGATTCCTGTAATTACCTATAATATCTATCCTTGGTGCAAAAATGAACACTTTGTTCTAAGTGCTATTCCCAAGGAAGCTTTAAGGTGATGATCCCCTAGACAGCATAATCCCTTAAGGTCTCTCTGTGCAATCTATAGATAGAGCAATATAAAACGAAGTATAGAGTATAGGGACACATTTAGCCAATTCTGATATGAAGTGATGGTATAAGAGGGAAAATGTCTAATGACAGGAAAAAAGGGGAGCGAAATCAGAATATATAATGATAAAGATGTAATCTAGTAAAACAAATCTATCGCTATTCTATTACCATTCCCTTACTTCTGCTAATAAACACCTTCGTGGGTGTTCTAAGCTGAATGGCTAAGCTAAATACTGTCTTCCTATCAAATGAAAACGGACTCCAAACGAGAAGTAACAAAAAAGATAATTGTTAAAAGAAAGTGATCATAACGAAAGTGTTGAGAGGAGGGTTTCCCTTAGTGCATAGTGAATGGTGCACTGTGATGTGCCGAGGTGCAGTGACTGGGAATCCCCCTGTGTAACCCAAAGTTTCAGTGTATTACTGTTGATTTAGAGATACTTTTTCATGCACTGTATCAACAATATTTAGCATCACCTTGTATTTCCTGGTTTTTCTCCCTTACCACTTTTCTCCTATCTGTTGGACTCCATATTCTAAGATTTATTAGGCTTAATATTAGTGTCTGCCTACAATTTTACCAGCTTGCTTGGTAGTTTCTCTTTCAAAGGGGAACAACCTTAGCATTTTGTGTGTTTTTTAGTATTAAGCTCATATATATGCTACAAAATAATGGGAATTTTTTTTTTATTTGTACAATTACATCTATTTACATTACCGAGTATAGCAAAGTTTTTTTATCCGCAACTCCAATCCTGGTGGTTTGACCAGGTGGTGATACCTACCTCTCCTGTAAACAGGCACCTGTTGATTGATTTTGAGAAATTCTGTATGGTTTAATCCATGTGAAGAAACACATATAAACAATTTATGCCTTATTAAACCCGGATACAAATATACGAACCTTATCTTGCATTGTGGCGTGGGAAAAAGAACTAGTCTACCAGTTGATAGAAACTACCTGGCTAAAACCAATTAATGTATACAAAGTATTGACTTTATGTGCATCTAATACAGGATTACTACGCAAACCATTTTATAAATGTTTAGCAACCATGTGTCGTTCTAAATCGAATAAATGCTGGTGATGTCACAATGCAGTCGGTACTTTGCTGCATACTTGGTGGTTGTTCCTTTTTTTATTGTAGTTTTATTGCCTCCCACACTATCCAATAAAAAGTTAATTGCCTCTAAATCCAGAGATATGGCTGTTTTCTCATTGCAACCCCACATTAACCCTGGGATTTTATCTGTTGGCCAATCTAACACTTCTAATAGGGAAGCACTGGCACATTTGTGGCAATTACCATGATCCACCAGCAATGCCTCACAGAAACACTGAAACCAATGCTTCTCTATGAAAAGCAAACAATTCGGCTTTGTAGTACACTTTTATTTAAAAAAAAAAAAAAAAGTAGGGGCTACAACCCTTAAAGCACTTTAGCAAGCAATATTAAATTTTCTTTTCCAAAGCAACTAAAAACAAAATGCTATGAGCAACGTAGACCATGATTTTTATCTGATGATATGGCTCCCTCTATTGACTGTCTGTCTAACATGTCCTTGGATTAATACGCTTTCCAAATAATGATATCAATACTGTTAGAAAGCTTTGCAAATGATTTATCTACAACATCTGTAGATAAGTTGTTTAGAAGGTTTTTAGAAAACAGTATTGAATCATTTGGAAAGCTTATTAAATTGAGGCCATATTAAGACACTGTTCAAAAGTACAATCAGAATTGAAATTTTGCAACAAAAACACCAGCACTCATAGATCCTTCTTTGCGATCCTTTATTACACCACTAAAAGTGTAATTAATTTCTAGACTAAAAAAAGCATGCAAGAGGTGCAGAGGCACAAACTAAATGTCCAGGAGATTAATTAAAAACTCACTGACATGGTTATTCACTAAAGTCCGAATGGCCCCGCACTGAAAGGGGCAAAAATCTGGATATAGTTCATAGTGTTTAACAATATCCTGATTTTGCAACTCGCACCTAACCTAATGCTGATGGATGATACATACAGATAAGTAGGAATGCTCAAGGATGAAATTGTAGTTCTTAGGGTGCAAATAAGTTGAAAAATACAACCTTTCAATATGGAAGCGTAGTTAGCAGTATCTACAAAAAATACATAAACCGTACATAGTGTGATAAAAAAATGTATAGAGAGACATGCAAGGAAATGAGGAAAACTTACAAAATGTAAGTGAATATCAGGCCCATCATCCTAATCTGGAGAAAACTTCAGAGCAATATGGAAGAAAATCTTCTTTGGCACTTGAGAATGGAAAGAGACCAGATAATAGTGCAGATATCACTTAAAGGACCACTATAGTGCCAGGAAAACATACTTGTTTTCCTGGCACTATAGTGCCCTGAGGTTGCCCCCACCCTCAGGGACCTCCTCCCGCCGGGCTGGATGGAGAGGAAGGGGTTAAACTTACCTCTTTCTCCAGCGCTGGGCGGGGAACTCTCCTCCTCCTCTCCTCCTCGGCTGAATGCGCATGCGCGGCAAGAGCTGCGCGCGCATTCAGCCAGTCTCATAGGAAAGCATTTACAATGCTTTCCTATGGACGCTGGCATCTTCTCACTGTGAAAATCACATTGAGAAGCACGCAAGCGCCTCTAGCGGCTGTCAAGAGACAGCCACTAGAGGCTGGATTAAACCTAACATAAACTTGTTATAGAAAAAAGGGTTAAACCTAGCTGGACCAGGCACCCAGAGCACTTCATTAAGCTGAAGTGGTCTGGGTGCCTATAGTGGTCCTTTAAAACAGAAAGAATTTATTACAATTGCACTTACACAAATCGGGATAAAACAGCATATATACACTAGCAAGTGGAGCAAAGAAACAGAGCACTGTAGGTCCCAAAATGACAATCTGATGCGTTTCTTCCGCTGTACTTCCTCAGGGATATGACAATCTGATGCGTTTCTTCCACTGTACTTCCTCAGGGATATGACGAAACGCGCCGGATTGTCATTTTGGGACTTACAGTGCTGTATTTCTTTGCTCCACTTGCTAGTGGATATATGCTGTTTTTATTTTTTTGTAAGTGCAATTGTAATAAATTCTTTCTGTTTTAAGTATTGAAAGGTTGTATTTTTCAACCTATTTGCACCCTAAGAACTACCATTTCATCCTTGCGCATTCCTACTTATCTGTATGTTTCACTGTTTTTGTTTGGTGTTTTAGAGGGCACACTGTTTAGTAGGTTTGCTTCCATATGTACTTTTAGTGGTTGGTGTTCTTTTGCCTCATAATGCTGATGGATGGCTGAAATCATGACCCAAATGCTTCAAATCTTGGGGTGGATGCTTCAAATCCAGGGCTGGATTGAAAAAAATCCAAACTACCGTATTTGCAAGTGAGGTTTAACCAGGTGGCAGCTGGACAGCTCTTGCTAGCCAGCCACCACATTCAAGTAAAAAAAAAAAGTTAAAAAAAATTGGGAGTCAATATCACACCCATATTACCTTTTTTAAAATTAGTATTTTATTGTTTCATATAACAAAGGGAGGGGATACATAAAGAAGAGTGGAGGAGGGGGGGTATTGGAGGGTATGTAATGCAATCAATTATTACAATTCGTTAAGTTAGTATATCACTTTGCTCAAAACATGCCAGGTGATATGTACATAGAGGCAAGAATTATATATAAGTACAATTATTTCATAATCCTTGGATATTAACCAAAGGCTCACAGTTCGTCTGGGGGTGAAGTGGTCTCAATTTGGTCTGTATACTGGTCACCTCTAGGTTGCTGGTGTGTTTAGTCTCCATATTGTCGTGAGTCTTTCTGCGCTATTGAGGAGTAAGGTGCCTTATGGTGGTGGGGAGTCAACCGTGGTATTCCTGGTAGTTTATCTATGGTTGTTGTTGTTATGGAACAATTTTGGTTTTGAGGAGGGTCATCTATGGGTCTATGGGTCATCTATACACCCTGACTCGTCCGTGAAATGGTTCGCTGTCGGGCCTACTTTAGCATAGTAATTTACTCATGGTCGCATCGCCTTCTGCAAAGAGTCCTGGTGTGTGGGGGATTCTGCGGCCATGGTTTCATACATGTGAAACAGGTGGATCTTTTCTAAGTGTTATGATTGGGAAGGGCAAAGTTGTTGTTTCCAATGTAGAGCGATATGGTGCCTTGCTGCCATGATAATGAGAGGGCCCGCCTGTTTGGTAATTGTAGATGAATGGTATAGAAGTTGCAACAGTAGGCACGTGTTCACATCAACAGTTAAATCTTGTGTGCCTATGTGCACTAATATCTGAGAGACTATTCCCCATAGTTTGGTCATGTTTGGGCATGACCACCAGATATGTGTCATGGTGCCTACGCTATCCCTGCATCTCCAACATAGGACAGAGGTGTGAGGAAACATTTGGTGAAGCCGTTGTGGTGTGAGGTACCACCTACAGATTAACTTCCTGTGTGCCTCTATATATGAATAGCACCTGGTGACACCTTTCGAAGCATTGAGCTTTGAGGTCCACTCCTCGGGCGTCTGCTCTCTGCCAAGTTCCCTTGACCATTGTTTAGCAAATGGGAATTCTGTATCTGGTTGCCTCATCATAAGGGCTCGATAGCAGTCTGAGAGAGCTTTGGGTTTCTTAGGTGTGAACCAGCATCTTTGGAGGATAGTGTTTGACTTATCAGATGCCCCCAGGCTCGGGTCAGTGTCCATAAGAACATGAGACAAAGTTATACTTTTTAGCTGAAGGTAATGAAAAAAATTTGAGTTAGGTAAGTTGTATTTGCCTTGTAATTCTGGGAAGGGGTAATGCGACCTTGGGTGCAGATGTTGCCTATAAATGTTATACCTTTTTTAAGCCAGGAGTGAAACGTAAACCACGGGGACATCTTGACAGGGCTGTGATTGGAGCTTTTAGCTGGAATTTACTGCTATCGCCTGTTATGGCCTGGAAATGGTCCCACTGGAGTATGGAAAGTCTTGAGGTTGGGTATAGTGATGTATTCTTACGGTGTTTGGGTGTCCACGTGATATCTATTAGTGAGGTACCCGAAATCCGGGAGTTTTCCATGTCAACCCATTGGAGTTTTTTGGGGTGTGCATCCCAATTGCCGATTCTAACAAAGAGGCTTTATGATATACAATTACGTTAGAGAGCCCTACTCCACCTTTAGAGGAGTGTGTTTGCATTAGGGCGAGCGATACTCGGGATCTGTGGGAGTCAAACACAAATTGGTTGATGACCGATTGGATACGTTTGCTGAGGGAGGCTGGGAGATTCATGCGTAGCATGCGGAACGTATACAGTAATTTTGGCAGTATAACCATTTTGGCAGTATTGACCCAGCCAAGACAACTTGACTTTTTTCCATTTTGCAATAGCAGAGGCACACATTTGTGGTAAAGTTTGGTAGTTCAGTTTGAAGGTGCCCTGTAGCGAAGGAGCTAGTTTGACCCCTAGGTATGTGATGCTAATTTTCCTCCAATCACAAGAGTACTGCTGTGTGAGGTGTTGTACTGTTTGTGTCAGCATGCTGACTGGTAGGGCTTGTGTTTTGGCTTGATTGAGCTTATAATACAAGACAGTGCAATAGTCGTTCAGGAGTTGAAGAAAGGCTGGGATTGAGCCAGTGGGGTTACTCAAGGTCATTAGTATGTCGTCAGCGAACATTGACAGACTAAAGACTTCTCTTCCCAACCATACCCCCTGTATATAAGCGTGTTGTCTGATCTTATGTGCTAGTGGCTCTAAGCTTAGGATGAACTATAGGGGGGAAAGAGGGCATCTCTGCTGTGATCCAGTAGTGATGTGGAAATGGTCTGATAGAAATGCTGCATTGGAGACCTGCGTTTTGGGTAGGTTATAGAGAGCTAGGATGCCTGATGTGAAGGCAGGAGGGAAGCCAAATTTAAGGAGAACGTTTTCCATATACTTCCAGTTCAGTCGGTCGAAGGCCTTCTCCACGTCTAACGCCAAAAGAATACCTTCGCCTTTGGAGGACTGCATGTGGGAGATATTAAGAATTTAGCGGGTATTGTCCGACCCTTGTCTGCCCCTCACAAAGCCGGATTGATCCGCATGAATTATGCGTGGAATTATGCCAGCCAACCTGTCCGCCAAGATTTTGGTGTACAGTTTGACATCAGCGTTCAAAGGGGAGATGGGTCGGAAGTTTTGGCATGCTGTGGGCGCCTTTCCTGGTTTTGGCAAGGTTGAGACGTGGGTTAGTAACATGTCGCTCGGGAGAGCGCCTTTATTATAGCATTCATTAAAAAAAGTGTTGACATGTGGCATGAGTAGGTCTTTGAAGTTAGGATAGTAAACATGGGAGTAGCTGTCTGGACCTGGGGCTTTGTGGGCTGGGAGGCGTTTTATGGCCTCTGCGATTTCTGCTTCCGTAAAGGGAGCAGTAATAATATTCAGGTCCTACGGGTTTAGTTGTGGTAGTTTTACTGAATGTAAGAAGTGTTGTATGGATTCTACGGTGGGAGGTGGAGTGAGAGGGTCATCTTTCAAGTTATATAAGGTGCTGTAATATTTTGCAAATTTGTTGACGATGTCCATAGGGTGTAAGAGTTTGCCTTTTGTGGGTGAGCCAATATGGGCAATTTTAGAATGCGCACTTTCCGTTGGGCAGCTAGTAAGGCTCCTGCTTTATTACCCTGTGCAAAAAATCTATGTTTGCATCTCCTGAGTATGAATGTGGTTTTGGCTAATTCCATCTCTTTTAGTTTAGTTTGTAGACCCCTTAATTTAGCTTGGGTTTCTGCTGAAGGATCCGATTTATTTTTGTGGGTCAGGTCTGTGATTCCTTGGAGTACCTCTGTATATGCTTTTATGAAGCAGCCTCGTATTACCGCTTTGTGTGCCTGCCATAGCTTGGTAATGTTTGTATCAGTTGCTT